ACACAATAGTTTGTTTTTGAAGGTCTCTGGTGAGTGTTTATGTTAGAAAGACAAAGAGGGGTGCACATTTGTACGCCTTGTCTTGGCGTGTGTGTATACGCATGCAGTGGAAACATGTGTGCCAGCATGTCTTTTTCGCGTACGCACACATACACATACGGCTTAATTATGGCGTTACCGAAATGGGCAGTTTGCTCTGACACCCCGCTTGCAGAATCACATAGCAGACAGACTTAAAAGAGCTCATTAGCTCTCTCTAAAGAGCTGTTTACTGCATATACACACACACAGAGTAATAGGCAGTTCTGTTGATGCAGATGGATGCCGAGTGTAATGAGAATTATTAGGCTTCTCTATGTGGAGGCTGGAGGAGAGGGGTGAAAAAAGCTGGCAGACTAGACGCTTCAGAAGGTGGAGAAGATTTCTGCTGGATGTTTCACCCGAGTGCATGATTTCTCTCTCTCCCTTTTTCTCGGCAACATGTACGACTCTTGGTTTAAAAAAACAAAACAAAAACAAAAAAAACTTGAACACCTTATTGCATGTGTCTGTCCAAATGATCTGTAAATATGTCTGCCAGGTCTGCAGCTCGATCAAAGTGCTGTAACGAGACCAAAAACAAATGAATGGAAATATTTCTTGTTAAATATTTAAGCCGGAGGCCCCACGCATGTAATCTTGTAACCTTAATGAAGGCCTCTGCAGCCAAAGGCCAAATTGTGCTCCACAAGTAACAGAACAATTTTATATTTTAAAGAAAAGAGCCTTGACTGTTTGTGAAAATGAATGTGTGATGCTTTTTATAACAAAGGGATATTGAATCGCCCTTTGACAATGAATTCAATGACTTTCTTTCAATGTCTTTCAAGGTCATTCATAGCAAGTAAAGGGATGCACCATCACATTAGGGCGCTTTGCTTTGCTCATTGCCCCTGGTTTACATCACATTGAATTAAAGGATACACCCCTGAATGATACCAGTCAGTCCTCCTCGATCTCTTCCATATGTTTTGGAGAAGGAGCAGCAAGTTCAAAGTGCTCAGTTCAAAGCATCCGTCCTCATTTGAATAACGTAGCGTAATCGCTATTACCTTATTTAAATAGTGCAAGTTATCGTTTGGCCTTCATTTGCATTGCAGGGTAATCACTGCTTCTCTGCATTAACCTCATTATAGAAGAGATGAAAGCCCTGATGGAGCCTGACATACTCTTTTTATATATGTTATCTTTATTAATGACAGTATTAGAAAGATCGTGTTTCTTTAAACAGAGCACATAAGAGTTTGGTGCATGTCGGATTACAGGGAGTGAAGACTAAGACTTTGAAGGCCTTTGTTTTTTGTGTTTATTCCTCATTTCTATTACCTTCATCATTTTTATATATTACTCTTATTTCTTTCTATCCTCACACCTTCTTTTGAATTATTTTGTGTAATAAGATAAGCTGGAGTATTTTAGCTAATAACACAGCTAGATAAAAAGGTACGCCAAATTACCTAAATGTCATCAACGGATAAGTCTAAGAGAAAATGAACAGTTTTTTTTCAGTACTTAGCATCTCTCTGTGTCTTCTGCTAATAGTTAGATTCAAATTATGTTAATTAATGTGATTAAAAAGTAGCAACACCAAAGGTGTGGCACCTTATTAAGCTACACTAGCTTTGCTAGCTGCGTTGTTTTTCTTTGGGGGGGGGTTTCACCACATACACTACATCAGTAAAAATGCATGCATTACTTTTTTTTTGACAAAGGAGGCAATTTATCATTTATGTATATGTGATTGATATATTATACCTGAGATGTGGCATTCATAAATGATAATGGCTAGAGAAAAACTTAGCTAATGCTAGTTTGGCTAGCTCTTTTATTTGATATAGCTCATACCTATTTGATTGTTTTACTGTATCAAGTGCACATTAAGATCCTTTTGAATGGCAATATTTAAGAAAATAAAATGTTTTGAGTGTACATTTGAAGTTGATTTTTATTTTATTTGAAATGTGTATTTTATTTTGTTCATAGCTAAGGTTAACAGGGTCATCTCTTGCTAACTTTCTTTTGATGTAGCTTTCGTGCTTCGGCTTATTGTCTGGCTGCAAGAGGACATGAGAATTTCTCTAAAGTTAAACATATATACTCAGGCATTAACAATAAAGCAAAAACCAAAAAAAAACCCAAAGCCTTAAAATACAGTTTTTTCTCTACATTAATATGAATATATACTAGATGTCAATAGTTAGCCTCTGTTCAGTTTTTATAGAAAAATGTTTATTTCAGCCCAGATGGTGTCATCTATTACAGAGATTGTGTGATATCTTTAATTTCTTTAAAAAGAATGTGTCATATCATAGAATATATATTTATAACATTTGCTGCCACTTGCTCTGCACTATACCAAATTAATATTATGTTATGTCCATAATCTTCAACTGAAGCACTGTTGAATGCCCATTTAAGAAACATCTGAAGGTGGATTTTTCTGTGGCAGAATCACCCTGTGTCAGCAATGCTGTTTCACTGTAGGTCTGTGCCACTGCAGAGAGGAGAGTCACTCTGATAGTATATACAGTGATTATAGCCCCTGAATTAGATGGGGAGTGGACAGTTTGTTTGTAAGAAAAGGTCTATAATAAATAATAATAAATATAATTTAATAATAAATATATACATGTATTTACAGATAGTTGAACACATGGCTGAATCTGTTGTCCTCATCCATATCTGCTTTATAGTTATTTGGTAATGCTTAAAAGTTAATGTTGGAACTATACAGACTTTATGTGCAGTCTTTTGCTCCTGGCTACGGATCAGACATGACGCTTAGAATACAAGCTTGAGAGCAGCCTTGAATTGTTTAATATTTTCAGTGATCTTGTTCTATTAAGGATTGATCAATACTCATTGACACTGGCTTACTGACAAAATAACAAGAAAAATAACAAAACTGCACCCTCTGATGGACTCCTGGAAACACAATTTTTTTCTGTGGACTCTCTGAGCTACTCAGATTAAAATGGTTACACTGCTGTATGAACGCATTGGAATCATCACAGAGGAATGTGACTTTGTAGCGTTTTGTCTTTGCAAATAGTGCTCTTTGGCAGTTGTGCAGCCATTTTTTTTAATATCTGTTAAATGTTTCTTTGCTGGTGTGAAATCTGAATTTTGTCTAGAGCGTTGTTCTTATTTTCTCCTGTTTTTGGAAATGTAATTTCCTCTTAGAAATACTGTCCTTTTTATATTGCTGCCTTCACTTAATATATTCTCAATATTAAAAGAGCCTCTTAGCTAGCACAAAACTTCGCCCAGCTCTATCTGAGGTGTTCCCTGCTCACTACACTGGGAGGGTGATGGGCACGCCAGCCCCGCAAGACTCCCCTCGGCTAAAATGTTGTAAATTAACACAATTAGCAGATCGCCATTCTGCTAATTAGCCACTGGCGTCTGCTGAGAGATGGCTAGAGAGAAGAATCAGAGAGGAAATAGGAGTCTAGGGATACCCCCACCCCCACCCCTGCCTGTGTTGTTACCAAACAAACACAGGGCCTCAGAAAAGAGAGCAAGAGAGAGTGAACGTGTATTTGTTTGTGTGTGCTTGCTTTCTGCGTTTTTTTCCCCATGTTTATGTGTTTGCAGTAGCATAAATGGATGGGAGGAAGGGAAGATTTGCTCCTCCGTGAATGCATTTTATTGTGCGTGCTGGCTTTATTCACACAAGCACAAAAACACACACATAAACCAATTTTGAAACAGGGATTGCTTACTAGACCCCCAGCTGTGGGTCTCTACATGCAACCGCTGCCAGTCAATAAGTCGGAGGAAGTAGCTTAAATGACACCGATATTATCCTTTATTTGTGTGCACTAAGTCAAATCAAACAGGGTTCAATCTGCTGTGCGGCTGCTGTGATTACGCCCAGTCCAGCCTTTGATAGTGCCACGGCTTTGATAGTGAGACAACGATGGAGCCACTGTGTGACTGTCAGTGTTTGCAGATGGCATTGGCTGGGATTAAAGGAAACAGTGGCTCTCCAGCCTCCTGAGGCAATAAAGGGGAGAGCCAGGTGAGTATGTCTGAGATGAGAAGGAGCAAAGGAAGGAGGGAAGGGGAGGGAGGCGAAGTGAGCACAGAGGGACTAAATAAGAGGAGGGGTGGCTTCGAAGAAAGGGAGTGAAAAGTGGAGATATATATCGAAATAGATGGAGTCTGAATAAAAGGAGGTGAAGAGAAATAAAGACAGATCTAGCAGGAGGGGAGGTGGAAAATGGATAACAAACAAAAGCAAAGAGGAGAGAGGCTGAGAGTGAAAACAAGGCAGCAGGGAGGCATGAAGAAGAGGCAGACAGAATGGTAAAGAGAATGGTAGAGAGAGAGAGGTCAAGGTGGAGCTGTGCAGAAAGGAACTAAGCTTGAGACACAATGTGTTGTAATTCATAGCTCGCTACAGCTCCTGCGTGTGTGCCTGTGTTTGTCTGTCTGGGTCAGTGGATGTGCGTGCGTGCGCGTGTGCTCATGGACGTCTGCACGCAGGCATAGATGTTTTTTCTTTTTTTTTTTAAACGCCTGTGTGTCTGAGCACAGGTTTGTCTTTAAGTGTGTATTGAATGAAAGTACCACAAGCAGAGGTGTGTGTTTGTGTGTGTGTGTTGCTTTGTGGCACTCGGCGAGGCGCATTTTCAAACCCATCTCCAGCCTCTTCAGATGAGCCGGGGATTATAGAGTGACCCTCAATGCCTCTGTCTTATTGGTCTGGCCAGGGTGCATTAGGCTGCCGTAACCAGCCATCCCACCGTCTCTCTGTACCGCACTTTACCTGCTGATGTTCTCTCAGAGTCCTTGTGAGCTGTAGGGTTTAACAAATCTTGATTAGTCGGATGCAAATCCATAATAACACACCAAACGCCTCTGGACAAATATCACCTTTTTGGACAGTTTTAATTATTGTTAAAATGATGTTAGCTTGACAGTGTGTTAACGCATCTCTGTCTTTTTTTCCTCAGGCGTAAAGATGCAGTGGACCCCCGAGCACAGCCAGTGGGCCGAACAGCATTTCGACATTTCGTCCACCACGCGCTCGCCAGCCCACAAGGCTGAGGCATACAGGGCAGTACCTGGCCACCTGCAGCGCTCGGCCACCTACCAATATGCCTGGGCCAATGACGACATCTCGGCACTCACTGCCTCCAACCTGCTCAAGAAGTATGCTGAGAAGTACTCTGGTATTCTGGACATGCCGGGCTCATATTCGGAGACGCCTGGTGTCCCAGGAGTGATGAATGGACGGAAAGGTGAATCTGAGCCTTGGCAGGATGGTGTCTACCCCATGAGCTGCATCCCAGAGGGCATTTCCGTCAGGAAAGGGGGGGTTGCGGCAGCTTCAGAGGTGGTGTCTGGCATGTGCAGCTCTCCGGGCCTGGCTTCCAGCACCCTGAGTGAGCCCAGCTACTCCAGCAGTAGCTGTGGGAGCCACACAGCAACTGCCCTGCACTCTTCCTCCATGCCCTCTCAGGAATATGGCCCAGCGTACAGCAGCTCGTACCTGCACAGCAGTTACAGCTCCCAGTCTACCCCCGCCCCGGCACTTCCATCTCCACTGCACAGCTCTGGGCTACTGCAACCACCTCCTCCTCCACCCTCCCACCCCACTATAGTCCCAGCTTACAATGGAGGCTCCCCCAACTTGTCTAGTTATAATTACCCCCCAGCAGGCTACCCAGCTCAAAACTCAGTAGGGCCAGGATATAGCCCTGGAGGAGCCCCCCCTCCCTCCTCGTACCTTCCCTCAGGCATTGCTGCACCTACACCCCTTGCTCCCTCTTCTGCTTTACCTGGATACCCATACCAGAGCCACAACCTGACCCCAATTGCCCCAACCCCTCTCAACAGTAGCTCCTCCAACTCACTAAAGAGGAAAGCCTTCTACATGACAGGTCAAGGAGAGATAGACCCCTCTTATGGTAACTTTGGCTACAGTCAGGCAAGGAGCTCAGCTGAGAGTCCCATGTACAGGGTAGCAGATAGCAGCAGTACAAACGGAGGCTCCAACAGTGCCAGTGGTGGTGGGTTTGACAGGAGTGCTGAGAAGTCATCTTTAACTTTTAATCCTCAGAAACAATCCACCATTGCATCAGAGCAGCAGAGGAAGTACAGCAGCCAGGCAACTGGTGGGCCTCTGACTCCACCAGCCTACGTCTCCTCCACCCTGGGGGGTTCCCGCTCAGCAGACTCTATTCCCAGCTTTACCACCCCCTCCCTCAGTGAGCAAGGTCCTGAAGACCACCGTCTCCACCTTTCTCACTCAGCACCTGGACCTACCTCCTCCTCATCCACTTCCAACTCCCGGCCTGCTGAAGAACAACTAAAAACCAGTGATCCTCACCTCCTGGACATGGTTACCTCTGAAATTGTACAGCAGGGGCCCCCAGTGGATTGGAGTGACATTGCAGGTCTAGAACTTGCCAAGGCTACCCTGAAGGAAGAGGTCCTGTGGCCCATTCTGCGTCCAGACATGTTCAGCAGTTTAGGACCATCCCCGCGTTGTGTGTTGCTGTTTGGCCCCAGAGGCAGTGGCAGGACATTGCTGGGACGTTGCCTGGCCAGTCAGCTGGGAGCACCATTCCTACAGCTCAGCGGCTCAACACTGGCAACAAAGTGGCTGGTGGATGGAGAAAAAATCATCCGAGCATCATTCCTAGTGGCACGGTGCCGGCAGCCCTCAGTACTGTTTATTAGTGAAGTGGACATGCTCTTGTCGGCCCACCTCAGTGAAGAGAGCCCTATCAACCGACTTAAAGGTGAACTTCTTGCCCAGTTTGACTCCCTTCTTATGGGCTCGGGCGAGGATGGAGGCAACCAAGTATTGGTGGTTTGCTCCACAAGCAGACCACAGGATATGGATGAAGGACTGCGCAGGTACTTTTCCCGGAGGGTCCTGGTGCCTCTGCCGGATAGCGCAGCTCGACACCAGATCATGAACCAGCTCTTGGCCCAATCTCAGCACAAATACTGTTTGAGCGAGGAGGAGCTGGCGCTGCTGGTCCAGCGTACAGATGGTTTCTCAGGACTGGATCTGGCCAGACTCTGCCAGGAGGCTCTTGTAGGCCTGTTACATGTCTCTGCACAGGGCGTGGACATGACTGGTATGATGCCCAGGGGACAAATCAGGCCCCTCACCTACCAGGACATTGAGAGTGTCTTTTGTAAATTCCAAGCAAGTATATCGCAGAAAGAGATTGACACTTATACTGAGTGGAACAAAATGTTTGGTTGCAGTCAGTGAAAAGATAGATCCCGCCCTTGAGAAAAAGAGGTTTCCACAATTCCTCCCCTCAGGGCAGAAGCATTGTGCTGAAGGGGAAAGGCACACAAAAGGCCAACACAAGCTCTCACAAGCAGGGTTTAGATGCACCAAGAGAGTCGCTTTGATCAGACAACTGACAATTTTGCAGTTAATGAACAAGAGTTTTAATTTGAATGCTCGACACTCCAGAAAGCCAGGGATTGTTTACACGTTGCAAGCAAGTTGGCTTCAGACAGGACACCCCAGTGTCTGTGTATATATTGTTATGTTGTTGTTCTTGAGATTTAGTTGGCTATCCAAGTGCCTGAAGTGGTGCTTTCTGAGTTTATTTGTTTATTTGCCTCACAATCTACATTCATGGCATGAGCTGATAATTATTAAGAGCTTTAAAAACTTCAGCGGCATGTCTGAAAGACCCAGACTGACAGTCACCATTGGGTGGTGGTCAATCGACCTTTATTGTCTTACTAAGAGCAGAAATCCATTTGGGCTGCAGTACCCTGGGCCCCTGACTCTCACCCATGGTTCTGATCCTGTGTCTGCAAAACAAGCAAACGTAACAAACCAACAACCAACACTCAGGAAAGCGTTTGTGAATTGTACAGTACCTCAAGACATCTTCACGAAAAGCACTAAGACCTGAGAGGAGAATCTGGCAGTGTTAGGTGTACCTCAAAAGACTAGGCTAAATAGCAAAGAGGTGGCAATGAATGTACTAAATGTGTTCTGGATTCGTGGAACATATTCTATAGTGAGAGTAAAAAGATTTTGTCCTTTCCCCCCCCTCACTGCAGGTGCTTTAGTTACCTGTTTCTACTTGACCAATCCTTATGAGCTTATTCCCATTGCTGTTTCAAAATATAAAACTGTGTTGTTTTGGGGTTTTAAAAGATGGGCAGGTGTTGGGGTGGTGGGAGTTGTACATTAATTAAAACAACCATAATCAACATTGTCTATAATACATGATCTAGGCTATATGGTTTAGCTGCATGGAACCGCATCAGTTATCAGCTAACTCCTGCGCAAAATATTCATCATACATTAAGCGAGGTATTCTCTGATCTTGATGAACTTAAATGGAAGGAATCATTCTAATATAAATATACTTATTTGCTTTTTTAACTGAGAGATCAGGCTAGTACCAACAGCTGTTTACGTTAGCTTGGCATAAAATATGTTAGCCTGTTAGACTGCAGCATGTTAAAGTTAACCAGTTAACTTTTTAAACACTTAACAGTGTTTTTGCAGGGATTTTGCAATGCTAAGCTAACGGGCAAATGTTTGTAGACTTGGCTATCTTTCATAAAGAGAACAAATAACTGTATTTCTCCAAAATATCAGTGATATCAAAGAAAAAATACTGTCTTTTTGTGTGGGTATTACATTATTGTTTGACTTGGTCTTGCATGGTTTTGAGGAAAGCATGTTTGTCAGTCAGCATCAAGAAAGCGAGGCTTGGATATTGCCCTTACCAAGTCCAACTGAAATCATATTTAGTTATTTTTTGCAATATTAACAAATGTCATATATAAATATGCTTTTAAATTAACTTTTAACTTTGATATCATTAAAAGAACAGAACGTGCTCATACAACCATAAACACCAATCAGACATTGTAACAATATGCTGTGACTAAAATAGGAGCACTATGAAAACATGGGTCATATCATACCTGTATAGGTGCAACATTTTACAAAAATTGCATTATTGCTTTATTTGCTATATTTTATTGAGGTCTTTAACAATCACTGGTGTTTATTTTGAAATAAAAAATGAAAATTAATAGTAAGTCTATTTTTCATTGTGAAAATGAAATTAAATAAGAAGTGAAATATAAGAACATGGTTACAGTTTTTGCAATGTTACCGACTTTGACGTTTTTTGGGGACAGACAACAAAAAAATCTAATTTGAGAGATAGTTGTGCTGTAGAAGATGACACAATGATTTCATTTGGACTTTGGTATCATAGATACGTTTGTAGGAATTTCCCCTTGTTAAACACTGGCTCAGTTTCCAAGACACAGATGACGCTTAGCTATAGACAAAAACAAATTCTTCATCTTCATTGATTTAAAAAAAAAAGTTAGTTTTTTAGGCTTAATTCACATCTAGGGAAACTAGCTTACCATGTTTAGCTGTATTTGAACTCGATTAGCTTCTGAATGAGATGCCACTCATGTAAATTACATATGTGGAAAGTAGAAATTTAAAGAAATTAATTCGGTTGCACGGCAGTTGTCATAACCATAATACGGTCAGCCAGGAGGTATATGCAGTTGGAATATATATGTTTTATTCTGTTTTTTTTTTTTTAATCTAAGATGACCACCCCAGAAAAACAAATCAATTCTAAACAATGTCAGCGCTTTTTTTTCCTGTATCTGTATTGTCTTTCTTTTTGAAAGTTACTAAGATGGTATGAAGCGCATGATCTACATACATTTGAGTTCCTACTGTTTAACATGAGTGGGGAATTTTGGCAGTAGTTTTGAAGACCTACATCACTGAACAATATCTGTTTCCCTTTGTATCATGTTGGAATGTATTTTTGTCTCTTCCTCGCCACCGTTTAAGGAGCTGTTGTGGCATGGGACTACTTAAGTCTATTGCACGTGCACTAAAGCGTTTTGTGTGTAATCTGGGGGGGGTTTGTTGAAATTTCTCAATGGCATTGACAGCACTTATTTAGTTGGTGTTTTATTTATCTAAACCGCTGATCAGTCTTACCCTTTTTATCGTACCTCCTGATTTTTCTACAAGAAAAATATCCCAAAGGTACGAGCTGCTTGTTGTGTATGCCTTGTGTCGCTATCTCGTAGGCACCATCAGTTCAGCACCTGGAGTGGGGTGGGGGTGGGGAGTTCTGCTGAGCATCAGCAAACTGATGGAAAAGAGAGACAGACAGGCAGCGTGGCAGCAGCAGCGGCACAAGGGGGGAAAGCAGAGTGGTCCGTCAGAAAACCACCCTCAAAACAATCTGTACCAGAATTCCTTCTGTCAGCAAATCCTCTGGAGAGAGAGTCCCTTTGGACAGAAAAACCTACTAATGCACTTCACAGCACACAACAGTAGCACAGGCCTTTCCTCCTCTCTCTCTCTATCCCTCGCCATTCTCCACAAGCCGACCGACAAACCACTTGAAACACACTGGTCAATGCTACGCTTTGTTTGTTGCGTGTTTAGCGGGTCCTCTTTTCATGTCTTTTTCTCCATGATGTGCTGATCTTTTCCCCTTTTTTTCCTTTCTTTAAATAGAGTTCTTCTTTAAAGCATTTCTACCTCATGGCTACAAAACACACGTGGTATTTGATTTAGGTCTTTTACAAATGTCAGACATTTGTGGAAAATGTATTTTAAAAAAAGACAAAAAAAGGAGGAAAGAATAACACCATAAAGTTTTGCGCAGTCTACCTCAGATGACTGTACTTAAAAACATTTAGCTGATGGTGCGACCGGAGGCTGCAGCATAGCCTAGTGTGCGTGTGCGCGTTTGTGTGTGTTACCACGTGTCCTCTCCGAGACAGACACACACTCATGATGAAACTGATGTGAAAACACGCAAGCGATTCGTAAAGGGGGCGGGGGAACGGTTGGGGGTCAACCTAAACGTGACCTGGAAATGTATAATCCAATACATTTGCTTTAATCTTCTGTGAAGTACTGTGGTTGTGCGCGTGTGAATGTGTATATACATGGGCACACTCTTTTTATTTAATTTTTCTTTTGATTTAGTGTGTTAAATTTTATAAATTGTTAGTATATATAACACACTTGCACAACTTTAAAACAGAGTGTAATGTGTTTCTGTTGTACATATCTATACATACAATACAAATGCACCACTTGTTTATATGTGTGAATATGTTGCCATACTTGCAGTCAACTTAAATGTATTTTCATGTAATCTGAGATACAAGCAGCAACAAACAATTCATTAAAGACATTTTCTTGGGAGATTACAGCTTGTATATGTTTTTTTTGTTGTTGTTATTGTTTTTATTGGAAGCGTAAAGTAATAACTGAATTTATTTATCAGTAAAATGGAAAAATAAATGTATTGTCCTGCCAAAAAATAGCCCAGCTGAAAAATCGCCTTAATGAGCCTTGTGTTAGTCACCCTTGTGTGCAATTATAAAATCATCCGTGTTGCACAGGAAGCCAGCGCTGTCGCTTCTCTCATTAAAATGTAACAATTCATTTCTCTTGCTATGCTAAGAGTGGCTAGACCAAAACATTAAAGCATTAATTATGTTTCTCCATCACAAAGAATTTGGATTATGTGAGTGCTCTTAAAGAAAATGATGCGCATTTACCCACTATGTTTCCTAGGTGTCATTATATAGCTACTGGTGAAGTGTGGGAAGCTGCCGCGTAGCCTCCGTAATTATCTCTGAAAACTCGAACACGTCACAAGGTTAAAGTGCATTGAGGGGTGCCGTTTTCTTTATTTTTCCACTTTGGCACATGCTATACATGCTATGATCATAAATAATTCATGACGTATATACATCTATTTCCCCATCTGATTTTTCGGACACAAAGAAATAACCCGTATTTATGACGCTATGGTTGATCAGCAGGGGACGTTATTGGAAAATTAAGTCCAGCAGCCGGACTTGAGCTTTACTCACAATTTCAAGGTTTACATTCTTCCAGTGTGTGCGTTTGTACCCCGAGGTTATCTGCCAAAACACTGTCCTCTTCATTTTCTAAAGGTCCTCCTCCCTCCATAAGCTGTGCCTCACACCTTCGCTCAGTCTTTTGCACAACAATTAAAATATGTTAAGTGATCATTTTCCTTAAGTAGTCTTAAATGTGCAATCTATTCAAATATGAGAGGAAATTGCCCACAGCTCACAAAAAAAGAAAAAAAATCGGAGGCGATTGAACGGGGGTAAAGCTGGAATAAATTATGCAAATAACACAAAGGACTTTACCAGTTGAAAGCCTAATTTTCCTATAATCAGCACACTGTCGCCTAATATTTTTTTCCCACCTCTTATTAAAAGTGACTGTTCTTTTGCCGATCATCAGATGGCTCTATCTGTCTAGCTGCTCTTGTGAAATGACTGCAGCCTGCCAGACTAAATGCTAAAGCATTTTGCTGGAGCTTTTAGATGATGGTTACATTCCCACACAAGTAATTATGCGTCGGAGAGTCCAGAAATAAGGTTTAATTATACAGTAATCGTCTGTGATGGACACTAGGAAGTGGTGAGTACCGCCAGACTGCAATCCATCAATGACAAACCTCTGGCCAGTTTTAATTCCTCCTCATTTGCATCCTAACCTCCACACCAAGTTGCGCAAACGCTGTTAAATGTTAATAGGACCTGTCTCGCCACTCAAAATGAATGGTTAAGCCATTTTTAGTCACTTTTCTGTCTCCCTCCGCCTCCACCTACACCACCGCCACTCACTCTCTTCTATCCTCACTTTGTTTCATCTCTTGTCTTGTCTTTATCTCGCTAGCTCTTTAACCAGCTCACTTCTTTTATTCCTTTCCACGGCCATCATCTTCACACAATTCTCTTTTTTCCTTCCATCCTTTCCTCCCATCTTTCATTCTCTCCTCCTTCCTTCCTCGCAGGCTTCGCCGTGGAGGAGGCACAGAGCGGTCACTGATGCACTAATTGGGAGCAACACTTACAGTTTTATCTCCCCCTACCACTAATAGCGGTCTGCACTGAAGCAACTCACCTTAGGATGAGGAATGGATGGATGAGTTGGAAGTAGGAGGTAGCGGGGGGGGGGCTTCAATGAAAAATTCTTCCACGCAGTACCACAGCACAGACTCAGTGTGAGATTGGGCCCTCAAGCCATCGTAGTTAATCCATATCCCGCAGGACCTCGGACTCAATTCCCTGCTTCATTAATTGAAAACGATGGCCCTTTTTTGGTGCGTGTGAATAAAACAAGGAGTCATTTATGAAAAAGAAAAAAAAACATTTTGTCTGGTTTGTTCCTGAAGTAGCTGCAATCTCATTATGTCTCTGTGCTGCATTTCAAAATGTGCTATCATCTTTGTCTTGATTGTCTCCCAACGTCGGGAGAGATAAATACACACGCCGCTTTGCTGTGCTGATGCCAGGACTGTTTTTCAGTGAATCATTTGAAGTCTTATCAGCCTTTATGGAAATAAAGCCTTTGCTTAATAAACTGTTTCACAGGCTTTGGGAGAGTAGCACATAAACACCTTTTTTCTCCCTACAACGCCATCATTAGCGCATCTTGTTCAATGCTTTACACATAATTGGAATCAACATCTATTGTTCATGTTCTTGACCTTCCACTTGTTTTCCAGCAGACACTTAGAAACATTGTATTACTGCTGAGAGGGAATCTTAACTAGGCGAACACATGCTAAGTGGCTTTACTTTGTTTTATCAGGGGCACATTGCTTCACTTTGAATATAACTTGAAAACTCATACCTATCTAATTTAAATTATCTGATGAAAAATAACAATACAATACCAAGTATTTAAATATACAATTGAAATTAATCGTGCTGCCTATTTTCTATATGTAGCTGACAACTACCCATGCAGTGTGGATGAAAATACACATTAAAGCATAATACAGTGAAACTATGATATGTAGTATAATACAAAGTTGAACAAAAAGTTATGAAAAATGAAAAATTGAAAAATGTACAATAAACGTCATAGACCACGACATTACCTCTCATTAAAGCTGAAAAAAAAAAGATGTTTTTATATTAACAGTCATTCACGTTAATACTTGAGTAAAACAGTGACATCATGAAGTCTATACTTCCATTCCTTAGTATCATCTCATGGTCAGCTTACAGAAAACAACTAATCAAATACCCCGAAACTCACACTGGCTATATACAGGGAGCCCTAAACTGTATCAGATGTGCACATTGCTCTACACATCATCACCACTAGCAGTATCACTGAAATCAGTGTACACCACTTTCACCACTGCCATAGCAATCTTAGAAGCACAAGCTGGGAGCTGTTGGTCAGTTAACGTGGATGAAAAACAGGTACAATAAGATGTCCATACCTGAGGCTCGAGAAACTGCCAAACAAATGCTCATAGCTCTACCCACAAGGCTAAAGAGATATACAAGAGAAGCAGAGGCTAAGATAATAAATGACTTATTTTCCAAAAATCCATTCTCATGTTTCATTTTTTCCCCTGCAGTGGAACCTTTGTTAATTTCATTAACACCAAAGCAGCTGTAAGGTACAACCCGTGTACCTTAAATTACAGTTCTACACACCAGCACAAATCACTTATACGATCTTTCTTTTAGTTTTTATGTATTTTTATTCATAAACACAACACCAGCAACAACACAGTTGAAAACCAGCCCAAAGAGGCTGAAAAGCAATTTGCAAAAAGTCATTCTACTTAGAGACATTTACAAGAAGGTTACAGTGCCTCAAGCCTGACTGTTCACTGCTTTAGATACCTGTTGAAGGCTCTGGCTGCTTGATCTGAGTTAGCATACACTCAACTTTAACCTCACTCTGCTTTTTTGCTAACTTTGCATTAGCATGCTGTCTGCGCAGATGCTTGGAAATAGTGTTAGCGATATAATATAGCTGTTTGTTATCTGGATACAGTTTGCACTTTACCTTTGCACTCTTATTCTTTCATGCGATAAAAAAGTAACATTCATATCTCTCCTCATCAAAAATTGTAGAACCGTCGACCATTTCTCTGACTGCAGCACGGGAACTGAAAACAGCTGATTGTAGCACAAAATATTTGTAACACAAGCAACAACATAACTGTAACTGTGATGTAATTGTTGAATTCAGTACAGTAAAGTGTTCCTAAAAAATGAAATGTGGTTATAGTAACACCTTACTTTGGAACAAATTGTACCTAACACTGTGTATTTATGTATGTATAGGCATTAACACCTCCTATTTGTTAACACTTACAGTAACACAGAAGTTAATATATTATATACAGTCTATGATTAATTTCACTTTTTTGTTTTTGTTTGTTGTTGTTGTTGATCATTTCAATGTACTAGTTGTCAATAGTGGCCATACTTTCTAATTATAGATTAATGCTTTGTTCTGATGCTTAATGTAGCACTTGAACCAACTAAAATCAATGAACTATTGGTTTACAGCTAATATTAATTGCTTGTCACATAAGAGCAAGTCTGTAAAAAAAACCTGAGTTTACTGAACTCAGTATAATATTACCTTTTTAATATTATACTGTATTTTTAACCTTGTCTTGCAGTTATAGAAGTACTCATGATTCAGGCACAAAGCTATCCAGATTGTAAATACTGAAATCACTCAGCCTTGAGCGACTGTTCAAGCTTCTTCATCTACAGTTCCAGACCCAAGTCCTGTAGTCACTCCAGCTCTCCCCATGGGGTGAGTTGGATTGCTGCGGGGATTTGCTCCTTCAGTGCCCACTGTTGTTTAATCGCTCACCAAAAGCATTTCTGATCGTCTCTGGGTGGTGTTACATTTACTCTCAAACCTCATCAGTTCAGTCACCTACAATGAGTTCATTGATGAGTTTTAACAGGTTTTTAACAATCCCCTTAAGGAATCCTGAGCTGAATCTGAAGTGTCTAATGATTAACAGGGGAATAGATCTGTATCTGAATTTCCTGTCAAGTTTAAAGTGTTGGTTGATGAAGCAGGTTGGGGAGACAAGGCTTTAAAAAACGGTTTCTATCATTTCCTAAGTGATAAGTTGAAGGGTAAGTGAGCCACTAAGAATGACACTCAGCTAAGATTCCCTTGAGAATTTAGGGGACTGCTAGGGAGATTGATAACCAGTTTCATGAACAGGCACAAGAAAAGAACTACAAATCTTACACTTCAAGTAATTTCAATTGTATTTAGATAGTGTCAAATCAAAACAACACTTGCCCCGAGTTCAGCTTCCAAAACCTCCTTTACCTTTCCATTCATGCGCTTCCTCATGATCATTGAGGAG